CAATGTGCATTCACTGCTGGAGTCTCTGTTAAGCCTCCGTCTCCCAGACCTGCTGGCTCCTGGTGCCCGGCCCGACACAGAGGTGCCTTTGTGAGTGTAATTACCTTTCCCTGTATTAGAAATAGTCTGTTTAGAGCTGTGTTTGCAGGTACAGCTAGAATAAGCAGGAATTAGCATGCGAAAAGACCTGCCCTGGCCCTGACTTCTTTATCAGCACCATCCTTCAGGACTGGTTTGTTCCCCCCTTTGGATTGATTGGGCAGGTGATTTACCATCCAAGATGAAGAGTTTTAAAAGAAGAAAAAGAGACATCGGAAATTGCTGTGCACGTGTGACAGCATGCGTGCGAGAGAAAGAGAGATACAAATCCTATTGTATTATATCTATTGACAATTTCATGCCAGGCAGAGCTGGCAAAACAAACTTGAGTGGACGATCCTAGCAACTTGAGAATTGATTAAAGCTTCCTTAGGCTTTCAGCACAGTGTCCACATCAAAAAGGCATGAGAGCAAAATAAATGATTCTTTTGCCATGATGATTCTGCTGCCAGAATCTCTAAGCCTGTCTAATTGGCCTGTGTCAATTGTGGACTGTTAACTTGAAGTTAAGTGAGGCCTACCCTTAAAAAAGCTTTTCTAGATCTTAAATAGAATGATGATGGAGAGACTTTAGTGTGATACAGAATTGGAATGGAGGCAGAGTTGATAATTAAACTAGATCTGAGTTTTTTTTCCAGTTTATAACATAGGTCTACCCTGAGATGATTTTTGTTGTCCATGTCTGGATATTAGTGTGCCTTTTATTTCAAAAGAAGAACCCAATAGTTTATCATCTTTAGAGATAAAGTATTTAAAGAATAGAAAGAGATTAGATGATTGTATTTTGCATTTATTAATTTTCCCCAAGTGATTGTAGTATATACTGAGGAAATTCAAGACCAATCAGAGAATGTTTAAGGGCAGAGCTGCCTAGAAAACCAGTTAAAAAAAAAAAAAAAAAAAAAAAAATGGATCATTATAAAAAAAAAAAAAAAAAAAAAACACCCAAAGCAGGATAATGTGGGGATTCTCTTATATGGCAGGAATGTTTAAATACTTTTTTTAAGTGGCGCGCCTTTGTAACTCATTAATTCTTAAAAAGCCAAAGCAATATTTTTGTGTTGCTGATGCAGGCTCTAGGGCAGCATGGACTGTTTCCCTTTGTTATAAAGTTGCCTGTTCAGAATGGCTGATCACTTGGTAAAAATTATACTTGGGACAAGTAGAAATCAAATCAAACAGGTTTATGTTTTGCTGTAGTGCTGGAGAATGAGTGTTCACCACAAAGTGAAGGATTTATCAAGGAATCCGGGAGAGAAACATTTTCACCCTTAGAACTTTAAGTCTTTTTAACATCCTGCTTCCCTTTTCATTGTACAAGAGCAACAGGTCAGGGATTGCCTAAGGCAGTCTTACAAATTGGCACCTGCCTTTATACCTAAGACCTAAAGGAAGTGGTGGGGAAAAAGAGGCCAGGGAAATTTAATAAGTCTGTGTGTTTCCTTGGGAATTGAGCTTTGATGCCTGGGGTGCAAGAGAGGTGAAGGGCCGCCTCCTGATGCGACTGGGAGAGGTATTTTCTGCAGGAAGACACCAGAGCAGGTGCCAGGAGAGGCAGGGAGACACAGCCCTCGAGGTGAACACATTTCTGCCCCTTAATGTTTGTAAGGCAGTGGATACCTTACAAGGACTTTCACATGTATTACTTCATTCATTCCTAAAGTTTCAGTTGTCTCAGTTGCCTGAAGAAGGTGGCCTATGGTATTTTTGACAGGTGAGGAAGGTTAAGGGCTTGATTTCTATAGGTGCTCATCACATGGCTAGCGGTGACAGGATGATCATACCAGGTGAAAGTTCTTTTGCTTCCTTGACTTTTCCATTTCTTCCTTTTTCTCAGGTAATCAGACACCAAAGACTTCTTGCATATCCTAACATTTGTTCTAGTCTGAATAAACACATTGCTAGAAAATGAAATACAACCTATTTCTAGGCATTTTTCCTTTAGTGTTGCACAAGGCAATTCTACCCTTTCCTCAGGGATATATATATATATGTTTGTATGTTTGGTTTTTGATCAAGCCATTTTTCATCTCAGCCATGTAGAGTTGTTTTCCAACATCTCTTGAAGTACGTCTCACATCTCTTGTAGATGCCTTTGTAACAGGGATACCCGATTTACTGTCATGATTTCAGGAAAGGAAGGAGGAGGCTCTCAGAAGGTGGAACCCTCAGTGGGTCCTTCTTCAGAAAACCCAGCTGATTCTTCATGTTCCTTTACTCTTCCTATGCCTCAGGGATGTTTATAATTTTGGGTCATGTCTTCCCATGGCCTTCTCATCATATTGAAGCCACACAGCATAAGACAGGTTAATCTGTTTCTCTTTCTCCCCTCGCCCCCTTTTTTTAACTTTAATGTTTCAGTACGAAATTAGTGACTGTTTCCTCCTATGTTTTGTTACATCCCCAACAAATAATATATCTTTGTCTGAAAAGCTAAAAGTGGCCAGGCGCGGTGGCTCAATGCCTGTAATCCTAGCACTTTGGGAGGCCAAGGCGGGTGGATCACCTGAAATCAGGAGTTGGAGACCAGCCTTCCCAACGTGGTGAAACTCTGTCTCTACTAAAAATACAAAAAATTAGCTGGGCATGGTGGCAGGCACTTGTAGTCCCAGCTACTCAGGAGACTGAAGCAGGAGAATCGCTTGAACCCAGGAGGCAGAGGTTGCAGTGAGCTGAGATTACGCCACTGCACTCCAACCTGGGCAACCTGGGCAATAAAGCAAAACTCCATGCCAAAAAAAAAAGAAAGGAAGAAAAGCTAAAAGCTTGGTTTTAGTTTCTGATATATTTTTCCAAGAAATAATGTTTTTTTAATTTTTATTTTTTATTTATTTATTTTTTTTATTAAGATGGAGTCTTACTCTGTTGCCCTGGCTGGAGTGCAGTGGCACGGTCTCAGCTCACTGCAAGCTCCACCTCCCAGATTCAAGCGATTCTTCTGCCTCAGCCTCCCGAGTAACTGGAATTAAAGTGATCTTCATTTGAGTTGATTATTTGGTGTCTAATTTGATTATCTTCTTGACTGAATCTACATGTGGTTGAATAGCTAGCAGCACTTACAAGAAGGCTTGGGCCAAAAAGGGAAAAGGAAGGAAAAATAGAAACTAAACGCTGATATTGTTACCCTTTTACAATAACTGCCCGAATTATAACTTTTTAAAAAACTAGTTGTAAGAAAAGTTTTGGATGTTACACACAGATATTAACATTATACTATATGTTTCCCCTTTGAAAGAGCTGAGAGAAGTGGAAAAAACTCTTAGGGTCTTGAGTTTTGGACTTGTCTCTGGAACTACCTCCAGGGTACCCTCTGAACAAGCCAAGGGCATAGCCCTCAGTAAATGCGCAATTGATGGATGACCTGTCCAGGACAATAGATTACCTGTCTAGGACATTCATTTGTATGTGCCTAAAATGAGTAGCTTGGGTGTGGTGGATATTGTGATTCTTAATTTTAATTAAACATCTAACACTTTGGGGGTGGACAAGATACAGAAACGTGAGCCGGTTGGCAGTACATGAGGTAGATGCTTGCTTCTCTGAATACTTGTGTACACAGAGTGAACAGAGGCATGCCTACACATCCATGGGTAAGTTGACTGAGAAAAAGCCAGCATGACAGAATCCAGATTCCAAGCATTTGTTCTGGTTGGCAGGATGAGCCAAAGTAGGATGCAACTTAATAGGATTAAATCTGACATCCTGCCTGTGTTACTTGTGTGAGGCAACTAATTAAGTTATAGTAGACTTGAGTTAATAGTAATTTATATGAAAAAGACTAAGGGTTTTATTACCCACAAGCTCAGTTTGAGTCAGGAGTGAGATGTGGGTGTCAGGAAAACAAAGGCTACAGTAACAGATACATAGTGTTAAAGAACTTTGACAGTTTGGAGCATCAAACAGAAATACCCAAGATCCAGCATTACTAGCCCTCAATAAATGTCACTGGGTATGGCTAGATCTGTTGACTCTGGCTGGATTCATTATTTTCTTTTGGGAATCTGTGTATTTGGTGGAAATTTTTAGTTATTAGAAATCTGTGAAAGAAATGGTATTAAATCATTACATGTTGAAAAGGGATGATTTCCTTCCCATTCACCCTACCCAAAACACAATATATGTGTTGTGGTTTTCATTATAATATATCATATTTCTGGGCACTTATCAATTCATGGGGCCCCTGCATAGCATTATGTTGGCAACAGAAACTATTTGTTGAAGACTTTGCTGTAGGAACTAATTGTTCTACACACAGCTCTAAAATGTATCCGAATTATTGTGAATATTTCAGGCTTTAGAGCAGGCATTCATCAATGTTTCATAAACCCTGGGTGGCAGGTAAGTAAGTATATAAGGAAATTAGAAGGATCATGAACCCCTGAAAAGATATAATTTTTTTATGTATGGGTAATTTCTTTCTGGGAAACAATCCAAACAGTACAAAACAGCAAACCTCTTCCTCCCCCACCCACCCACCTATATAATTTGTCTACTTCCTAGTGTGTAAATAAAGAGGCATCTTGACTACTGTTACCCAAGTTTGGTGAGACCAGAGAACAGATCTTCCTTGAAATGACAGTGACTTGCCACCAGTCGGGATTTAAAAGGATGTCACAGGCAGAGTTCCAAAAAGGTTTTAATTGAAGTCTTAGCATTAGAGTAAATGAGAACTGCTCTCCTCCCCTCACAGCACACAACGAAACTAGTTTTTGTTTTAAAAACAAAGTTTAGATTTATTACTTGCAGAATTTGGGTTATTTTTTTCTGTTCCCCTTTAAATATGTGAGTACAAATTTGGTCTTCTCCAGGAATATTTTGTTCTGAGGTGAGTTCCAAAGAAGCTTGATCTCCTCAATGGGATATGTGTTTCATATGGTTTTTCTTCCTTTGCAAATGTGCAGGGTGCCAAAGCATGCTTTCTGCGGGACATTCCTTTCTCGGCCATCTACTTTCCGTGCTATGCTCATGTGAAGGCTTCCTTTGCAAATGAAGACGGGCAGGTTAGCCCAGGAAGCCTGCTCTTAGCTGGTGCCATAGCTGGTGAGTGTCCCCCATGGAGTTCTGTTACTTCCCCAACCCTTGCTGCCCCCATTCCCTAGCCGCATGCTACTACATTGAAATTTTTTGCTGATGGTTCTTGACAGGGTACATTTGAGTTGCCTAGAGATTGAAGAGCTACTAAAAAAAAGGAAAAAAATTAATCTTCGTTCTGTCAGATGAGACTATTAGACAAGCTTAATTTCTTAACTCTAGAAAAAGCTCATTAAATATTGGCCTATTTTGTGGTATTGTGGAACTCCAATTCAAGTTCCATGTCATTTCATAGTCTCACTTCATAGCATAAGAATGATAACTGTTTAGCCAGAAGTTTTTAAAAATGCGAATATGTTTGTCTTAAAGATGTCTGAACAAAATAGTGCATAAAAGCCTGTCCAGAACTTAAACAATAGTTAGAGGAAAAAAATGTAATAGAACCAGAAAAGACCTGGGCCAATTAGAGACACCTGTTTCCTCCCTATCTTATGGGGGGATGGTGGTAATTAAATCACAAATGGAAATAACTATCTTCTTCTTTTCAGTGCTCCATTGAAAACATCGATAGAAAATAATTAGCCATGCCAGGGATCAGTTCATTCTTTGATGCTTCTTCTTGTCGAGGGACTCTAAGAGCAGGAACAGTCCAGATTAGCTCTCCAAGTGATGACATTTAAATAAGTTAACAAACCCTAAGGCAGTCACAGGATACTTGGAGCCAAACATTTTTGATACCTGTGCTACTCTCATGAGATACGTAACTAGAGTCTCCATGCTTTTCTCAAAGATAGCATAAGAACAACTCCCAGCTTTGGGAAGTTGTTTGCTGTTTTGTGCACACCCCACCTGCCCTGGCTGCAGCCTGGGGAACCCCTGGACGCAGGAACCCATGTAGCTCCTCCTTAATTCTCAGTTAATCCTTTTCCTTCAAAGGCAGTGATATTGGTATATGAGGCAGGGTTACTCTTTCCTGGCTGCTTAGAAACCTCAGTTGTATTAGCAGCAGTGATACCACTGTATCTAGAGCAAGAGATCATGATTTCAGGACTTGAGTATAAAATTCCCAATTTTAATTCCAGCTTGACTCATGGTGGCCTATATGTAATTTCTCATATATCTGTAAATGAGAAAATGTTTTGAACAAAAGGGTTATAATTTATTTCAAATTAATGACTTGAAATAAGGTAGGACCTAATGAGAATAACTAAGTACCACTTATTAATGTGTGACCTTGGGCAAGTTACTCCACTTCTTGAAAGCTTTGGTTTCCTCAGCTGTAAATGGAGATCACAACTGCACCTACTACAGAGTGTGTGTGAGGCTCAAATGAGAGGATCCATGTGAAAGACTTGGCATACTTCTTAGCATATAGTAAATGCTCAATAAACGTTAGCCAAGTATTATATTGAAGCCAAAGAATCTGTCTGTAAATCACTCCAAAAAATCAGTTGTGAAATCAGAAGTTAAGTAGCTGACCTCAGATCAAGGTCTAGAACTCTTTCCTAAGCCTCATTTTCCTCACACCATAAAAATACCATCATATCTCTTCTCTTGGAGAAGGTAGGTATCCAGAAACGATTCTGTCTCTGGGGAGGTAATCCATACTACCAGAGCTATAGAAATGACTGGTGAGATTTTTTTTTTTTTTTTCATTTCAGGTTTATTTTCCTTCTTTTTTTATGATTTTGAAAGTAATATTACTCATTGTAAAATATTTGAAAAGTACTAGAACAGGCAAATAATAAAAATATTATTCATTATTTCACTACCCTAAGATAATCGCTATTTAACATTTTTGCTCATCTTTCCCCATTCAGGTTTTTCACAGAGCTGTAATCACACTTTGTATAGATAGTTTTCACTTAAGGTTGTATCTCAAGCATTGTTACCCATCATGGCAAAGTAGTTAATGACATGTGCTTGTGGGGTCAGACTACCAAGGTTCAAATTCCAGTGTTTCCACTCTGTGTGAACCGCATAAGTTATTCAATCCCTGTCTGCCATTTCTCCATCTGTATTTGGAGATAAGAATAGTCTTACCTTACAAGATTATTATGAGGATTAAGTGAATTAATAGATGTAAAGATTTAAAATAGTGCCTGAATAGTAAGTATTCAAAATGTTCCATAATGTAATTTTATTACATATTATTTAAAACTTTCCAAACATAGTTTCTAATTGCTGCATCTTATATATTTCTCAATTGTAGATACTTTAATTTTTTCCAATAAATTTTAAATAGCTAGTAGTATGCTTAAAGCCTTTTCCCCTATTTTGAATCAGTTATTTTTTTTAAGAGAAATAGATTATCTGAAGTGAGTTTGTTGGTAAAAAGCATGGTTGTTTTTCAGCCATTGACCCATTATTCTTGAGAGTTTGAAGTAGTTGGCATCCCTATGGTGATATTAGTTCAGCCCTCTTGCCATCCTGTTGTCTTTATAAATGCCTTCTGTATTCGTTATCTATTACTGCATGCCAAATTCCCTCAAAACTTAATCAGCTTAACACAACTAATATTTATTTTCTCACAGTTTCTGTGAGTCAGGAAACAGGTGTGGGGTAGGAGCAGCTCACTGGGTGCCTCTGGTACCAGGTCTGTCATGAAGTCGCAGCCACAGTGGCAGCCAGGCTTGACTGACATTGGAGAAGCCACTTTCAAGATGGCTCAGTGACATAACTATTGACAGGAGGCCTCAGTTCCTTGTCATGTGGGGCTCTCCATAGGTCAGCTTGGACACCCTCACAACATGGCAGCTGAATTCCCCAGAGCAAAGTCTGAGAGAGAGAGAGAGAGAGAGAAAGCAAGGCAGAAGCTGCAGTGTCTTCTATGACCTTGCCTCGAGATGATAGAGAAGCAGAGGCATGAATGTCACAAGGGTGCAGATCTTTGAGGGCCATTTTGGGAACAGTTGGCACACTTACTATAGAACATTGACTTTTATTTTTTTTATTTATTTTTTTTAGACGGAGTCTCACTCTGTCACTCAGGCTGGAATGCAGTGGCGCTATCTTGGCTCACTGCAAGCACCGCCTCCCGGGTTCATGCCATTTTCCTGCCTCAGCCTCTCGAGTAGCTGTGACTACAGGGGCCCGCCACCACACTCAGCTAATTTTTTGTATTTTTAGTAGAGATGGGGTTTCACCGTGTTAGCCCGGATGGTCTCGATCTCCCGACCTTGTGATCTGCCCCCCTCAGCCTCCCAAAGTGCTGGGATTACAGGCACGAGCCACCATGCCCGGCTATTATTATTATTATACTTTAAGTTCTGGGATACATGTGCAGAATGTGCAGGTTTGTTACATAGGTATACAAGTGCCATGGTGGTTTGCTCTACCCATCAACCCATTATCTAGGTTTTAAGCCCCTCATGCATTAGGTATTTGTCCTAAAGAGCATTGACTTAACCATTATTATCCACCTTCCTCCTGATCCCCGCTTTCTGGTAAAATGGGAAAAGACCGAATTTGCCCTGTTGATTTTAGTCTTCAAAGAGTGAATAAGCTACAAAGCTTGATGGTCTTTGGGTATTCTACAAAACTATAAAAACTGTGTAATGTGAAGTAAGCTACTTTCTTAATTTAATAACAGATATCAGAAGCCAGTGGTCAATGTCGTAGCTACCATTCCAATTAAAGTTAGGAATAAGACAAGGATGTCTCTCTCATCTTTGTTATTCAGCCATATTTTGGAGGTTCCAGTCAGCATGGTAAAATTAAAAAAAAAAAAAAAGGCATAAATAAAAGAAGAAAGGAAGCAATCATTATTTATAAATGATTATTTACCTGAAAATCAAAATTAAAATATCTAAGAAGTATATTAGAATTAGCAAAAGAAAGATTACTAATGCATTTTGTTATAAAATAAACCTAAAAAAATCTATACCCAGTGAGCAGGAGTGATGTCATGGGGTGAACAGGGCTGAGTGTGGAACCTTGCTGAGATGCTCAGGCAGAGCTGAGTTCAGCATGGAGAAGGGCAAGAAGACTTCTGTCAGAAGTGTGCCCCATGCAGCCCCAAGAAGGGCAGTGAGCAAGCACAAATGTGTGCTAACCCTGAATGGGCTGTTGGGTGGAGGACGGATCAGGCCCCCTCATTCCCTTTGTGGTTGCCAAGAAGAGCAAAGGCATTTCTTAGCGAGAGAATACATGGTATTCAGAGAATCCCAGAAAGTATTTAATAGGAGAAAAGCTTCTTTCAAAATATAAAAATCCTCCTTTTTAGATGGAGTTTCAGGCAACTACAATGAATAATTGTTGGCCCCTAACTTATACAACAAAAATGTCTCATGGCTATTTGTATATGTACCATATTTAAATTGATCACTTATACATACAATATTTTTTGCTGAATGTCAGCCTATTATAAATAATATAGACCTGTGATTAAATGAATATGACCACGCTTTCTATGTTTAGATAGTAATTTCAATTATTCAGTAATGTTATCTCACTTTTTTCTTTCCAAAAATTTGATTAGCCTTGAGGTTAGATTGTTTTAGTAATATGTAGCTTTTTAGCAAAAGTGGTTATTGATATCCTCACCCAGAGAATGTTGGGTTTTGGTGGGGGTTTTTGTTTTTGTTTTTATTTTTTGTTTATGTATCTAGTTATAAACTGGAACTATATTTGAATACTGGAACATCTACTCCCTTATTTCACAAGATAGAACAAGACTAACCAATATTTGAATTCATGTTCATTGGCCGAAGTACCTCAGCTTTGTCAGAAAGCGAAGACCAAAGCAGGGATCCTGAAATTAAGAAACCAAATTCAAATTCTCTATAATTAACATGGTGCTTTATCATTAATGACGGGCATTTCAATACACCTTATGAATGATATCAAATAAAATATAATACCACTCAAATTTTATAGAATGCTATGTCATACCAGATGATTTTTATCCGAGTGATAAGATAGAGGAACAAGACAAACTGTAATGATGGTCTCACCTTTGAATTAATTAGCTTGAGATTAAGTTGTAATACAAAAATACCTTTAAAAGC